TCTCTTCCTGTTTGTGAGGGAAAAAAACCCAAGAATTTCATGCCTAGTTCTGTGACTTGTGCCTCTATTTTGGGCTTTTTTGTACAGGGCTCCTAGGGAAACACCTGGACAGGGTCCCAAGAGCCTGCAGACAGCTTACAAGTCACTTCTTCCACAAGTTGGTGAGGAAAAAATAGGAATTTCATGCCCAGCCCTGTGGTCTGTGCCTCTGGGTAGGACTGTTTAGTTGCAGGACTCGGGAGGCACTTCACAACTATGGCCTGTACCTCTGCTTTGGGCCATTTTGTTTGTGGGCCAGGCAGGAGATATGCTTTCAGATTTATGTTAGCATCTTATTGCTGTGTCTTTACATGGTAGAAATGGCATAATGACTCTTATAATGGCACTAATTCTGTTCATGTCACCTCATCCCTCATGTCCTATTCAACTTGCAAATACCTCAACTCCTTGTACCATCGCCATCACCTTGAGTATAAAAACTTAAAAGTACTGGGGATGGAGCAATAGTACAGTGGTTAAGATGCTCGTCTTTCATGTAGCTGATGTGGATTGAATGCCATCATGGATTGAACACCCCACATGGTCCTCTGAGCCTGACAGGTGTGAATCTTGAGTGCAGAGCCAGGATAAGCCCTGAGCACTGAATGTGGCCCAAAAATGCAAAAAAAATTTTTTTCAAAAATATGAATTTGGGGACACTGAAGAGATAGTACAGGGGATAAGGGGCCTGCCTTGCAATTTAGCTGACTCTGGTTTAATCTGAGGCACCCCATATGATCCTCCAAGTAACTTTAGGAGTGATCCCTGAGCACAGAGCCAGGAGTAAGTCCTAAGCATCTCAGAGTGTGGCTTCAAAACACCCTAAATAGAAAGTTGGAGGACACTGAACTTTTATATAGTTAGAACATAATCCAGACGAAGATTCTTTACACCAGAGGAGAGTGAGAACATGGCATGCCTATTTTGATATTGGGTGCACTTACTGGTTCACATTGCTGTCTCTCTGATTCTTGCTTCAAATTCCCTTCTCTCCATGAAGTTTTCTCTGAATAACCCAAAGTCAATCTTGGGCTCCATTTCCAAGATTTCTCATTGACTGTTGGTCTGAGGTGAGGCCCAAAGTGTTGGGTAACATTGCTTTGTCCTTCAAGAAGCTTAGGTTTTATCTGGTTACACCCATTAATCTGGTTACACCCATCAATCTGGTTACACCCACCTCAGTGCTCCAGAGGCACTTCCACTTCCATTGTGTTTACATGTAAACATGTAAACAGTCTTTCCTATGCTCTCCTTCCCACCCAGTTAATCAGCTTTCCCCTTAATCAGACTTTGTTAATTTGTAAGATCAGTTTCCCAGAAATCTATGATTTTATATGTATGAGTGAAATATTGCCTTTCTCCTCTCCTTATGCCTTGTGAATAGTTTACTTTAAAGTAATATCCTTTTTGTATAGATACAGGAAGACCGTTAACATTATGCTTTGTAATTTAGGATTTGATTGGCCTTGAATATTATTCACTCCTGGGCATCTTTCTCGACTTAAGCCTCAGTTGCCCTTAGTTCCTAACACCCCAAAAGCAGGGTCCCGACGAGGGACTGAATGGACCCAGGGCAAGCAGTGAGCTACCCTGGCAGCGAAATGGGCCAGGCCAAAGTGCCACGATTCTTAACTATAAGTTAAGAGTTTGATCATGGACAAATGCTGTCATGATCCAAGGTAACGACAAGACTAGGATCCTGCTAGGGGTGGGAAAGACTATCTGGCCTGAGCACCGTAGTCTGAGATCAAGATGGCCCTAGGAGTGCAATTCTATAAGTTTAAGACATTTCTTACTGTATCCATACAAAATGATTTATATTATATTCTTGTACACTTGTCGGACAAGGAGAGGAGAGGCACGCCCATGGGATTCTGCTCTAGGGTGGGTCCTCCTGCTGAGGGAGGATCTGTCCTAGGAGCGGTCTTCCCTGAGGCTAAGATTTCTACCCCTATTGATCTCCACCCCTATTGATTGTGACCACACCTATGTAATTGTTTTCTCCAATTCCTCATGGAGAGAGGATTTAACTGTACTGTAGGAGTGAGACAGAAGGCAGAAGGAAGAAGAGAGTTCAGAGAGGATCAGAAGAGAGAGGAGGATGAAGGGGGGTGGAGAAGGAGAATGAAGTAGCTGGGGGAGGAAGAATGGGGGCAGAGATAGAGAGACAGATGAGGAGAGAATCAGAATAAACTATGACTAATACCTACCAGCCTGGCCCTCGTTCCTTCCTCTGCCTGACCATCGCCATCGACCTCTCCGGGGTGGTAGAAGGGTGAGACTACCGAACGCGGGTGGTGGGAGAGATAGAGCCGCCGCCGTGTGGGTGCCGTGCCCCCTACTTTGTGTGAGTTTACACACCAAAGCTATTTGCAACTTACAAGATGAGGTTCCCGGTCAGAAGACTGTGGATTGGGAACCACTGATTCAGAATCTAGCAGGTCCTTCACCCAAATCCTAGGTTCAGGCCTCGAAGTCCACCAGAGATGATGCCAGATCATATTCTCAAACAAAGTCTCTAACAGAGTTAAAGTGATGGCATAAAAGAACTGCCTTCCAAGAATGAGTCAAGATCCCCAGTAACACCAACAGGTGCCAAGTGTAGTCCCATCAATTCTGTTGCTTGGGACCATCAACATCACAAGAAACTGTGAGAAATTCGGAGCACTGTGGCCAAATGTGTGCAAGAACTGCAACCCCAGAGTGTCTGTGACCTGCCATGAGCACCTGTGAACACCACACCAACCAAGTGAACTTGACAAACATAAAGTGAAAAAGCACAGCTTAAAGGAGTGTGGCTCCCAGTCAGCATGTTTAGGAGCACTGCAAGAGAAAGTGTGCTGCCTCTGGTGAGTACCAGGGCTAAGTGTGCAGGCACCACATGGACTCCTCTGTAAGCATGCAACAAAGTGTGTGTGTTTGTGTGTGTGTGTGTGTTGGTGTGTGTTGTGTGTGTGTTTGAGAGAGAAAGAGTGAGACACCTGGTCACTGAAGCCATAGAACAAGCTAAAAAAGGCAAGCAGAGAGCAAGGAGACAGCTTAAATGACAGGAGGGCACTTTGCATACAGGAGTCCCAGGTTTGATCTCCAGCACTGCACGGTCCTCTAAGCAGCAGGAGTGCCAACCACCCCCCCCCACCCCGCCCACACACGCACAAAGCACAGAGCTGGGAGTATTTCTGAGTATTACTGAGTGTGCTCCCCCACACCCAAAACTGTAGGGAGAAAAAAGGGGAAATTTTGTTTGTTTGGGGGCCCCACCATGGTGCTCAAGGTTTACTCTTGACTCTGAACTCAGGGATCACTCCTGGTGGTACTTGAGGGACCACATGGGATGCCCAAGAATTGAACCTGGGTTGGCTGCATGTAAGGTTAGCATACTACCCACTGTACTATTGTTGAGGCCCAGAAAATTATTTATGAAGATAGCTATTAGTTCCTACCGAGAGTATCTTGCCTGCAAGGCAAAGCCTGGCAAGCTCACCGTGATGTATTCGATATGCCAAACACAGTAACAACAAGTCTCACAATGGAGACATTATTGGGCCTGCTTGAGCAAATTGATGAACAACAGGAGGACAGTACTACAGTGCTACAGTGCTATTAATTCAGTCTCTTTCTATACATTCAAGGGTCCAGACTGTTGAGAGATTACTTCTCGGATTTGACCTGCCTTCTCACTTCCTCACAGCAGGAATGCCTGCTGTTGCTCTAAGTCTCCTGTTCTCTAAGCTACGGACAGAGCACACTGCTGAGTCGGCATCACTCCAGCTTATATCTGCATAAGTGGGTGCGGTCATTTTCATACACTGTCTTCTTTAATTATCTTTTAAAAAAAACTATCCGTGACGTATTCAATATGCCAAACAGAGTAACAACAAGTCTCACAATGGAGACGTTACTGGGCCAGCTCGAGCAAATCAATGAACAACGGGAGGACAGTGCTACAGTGCTACAGTGCTATTTATTTATATAAAGTTGTCCACAATAATTGATTACATTTAATATTTGAACACCAATCCCACCACCATTGCACCTTCTCACCACCATATTTTAAATGTTTCCATCCCAAACCCAAACCCTGCCTCCTAAGAAGAACCAAAGTAATTTATTTTGTATTGCTTGTTATAAAAAAAGTGGCTAAAAATTATCCAAAAATGTTTTCTTCGAGGAAAGTGTGTAAGATTGTGTAAGATTGTTGTAGTTCACCCAAGAGACATTTTAATGATTATCTTATTTTAGAACAGGCTGGAAAGATAGCACAGCGGGTAGGGCATTTGCCTTGCACTTTTGCGGCTGACCAGGATTCAATTCCTCCATCCCTCTTGGAGAGCCGGGCAAGCTACTGAGAGTATCCTGTCCACACAGCAGAGTCTGGTAAGCTCCCAGGACAGTGCTGCAGTGCTTATTTTAGAAGAAGCAGAATGTGTTGGGACCATGTCAAGGAGTATAACTTTATGACTATCTTTATTCTTTGTGTTATTCATTTCAGAGGCCATGCTTTTTTGTTTGTTTGTTTGTTTGTTTTTGCATTTCAGAAGCCAGTGTCTGGGTGTGGGGGGCAGGTCAGGATTGAACTCAAAACCGTGCACTTGCAAAGCAGAGCAGACACTATCACTAACTATCACTAAGCTCCTGATTGTTGTTCATGATTGACCATTTGAATTGAGAGAAATATTCCTCTCTAGAGTAGCCTTCCAATTATAATGCACATTAAAATGAGACTTTTTCTCTTGACGTAACTTCAAGTTAAAGATTGAAACACCTCTGTTCCCTACAACTTAACTTCCTTTGAAACAAAAAATGTTCTTTTTTTTTATAAATTGAAATTCACAACAGAAACAATTTCCTATAACTGCCAAGATGTCAGTCTGGACAAACTTTTTATAAATGAGATTTGGGGTATTTAACCAAAGTGTTTATAAAAATTTGAGTCAACATCTTACTATCAGTTTTATTGATATGAAAATCCAGATATTACTTTACTTAGAAAATGCAGATTAAAGCCAAGCAGGGTCATACTTTATAAGTAAACATTAGCATGTGGATCTACTTCCTTCAGCAGGACAAATGCTTTGTAGTTCACCGCGGACTCCACCAAACAGTAATCACATGCCTTTACGTGCGTTGGTTCTTAGCTGTTTGTCCCTGAGAGGTAGCTGAGTTTGTACTTCCCTCTTTGCAGAGCCAATGGGTTTATAAACTTGTAGTTTAAGGAAAGAGAACTCAACTCTTCATAGATAAAACACTAAAAGAGTGCGAGAACAGTTGCCTTGTGATAGTTCCCTGCTTCTTAGAGGTACCTGCTCCTTCACCTTCATTCCTGAGCACAGAAGTTAGGAACTTGACATTTTGTGTTCCAGAAAGACAGGAAAGTCATAAAATATCTTGATAGGAGCTGTAAGAGAATAGAAAGAGAGAGACCACTGAGACAAAGGGGACAGAGGTTCAAAGGGAGAGAAAATACGGAGGGGTTTGAGTGTAGGAGCAATGATAAGGGAGACTTACCAGGGCTTCTTAAACCTGATGAATAAGCCTCCACCAATCAGGAGCAGCAACAGTATTACCAGCACGATCAAACCCACAGAGACATGCTTCACCTCTGTTTGGAGGAACAAAGGGCATTTCTCAGCAAAGGATCATTCCTGAGTCCATATCCCCTAGACCCTCGTCTGGACACTTATAATAAAATAGAGCTACTTTCTGAAAGTTCCTAATACTCTCTCCTGGGGCACAAGTTCTCCTGGGATTCTTAATCTGCTAGGAACTGTACATTTTTAGTATTGTCTTTCTTGTTGGAGTTCTATCTTTCCTGTCCGGGAATCCTCTTCTTCCAGCTCTTCTGACTAGGAATCTCATCCCTGAACCTGGTTGGGGGTGCCAACTCCCAGTCTTCCTCCCAGTTTTTCTCTCTAAGCTGTGGATTCTCCTTCCATGGCCCCAGTTCTTTCTCACCCCAGTAGAGAATGATGTCCTGGTCTCCAAGACTGCTGTGTTTAATGTGGCATGTCAGGCCTGCTGCTTCCCCAGACACGACATCCAGGGATACTTGGAGAGACCATGTCCCATCTGCATTGGGCAGGATATCCCCTTGCTGAGTGCCGGGCTGCTTCTGCTCACCCCTCATCCATGTCACCTGCACAGGCTTAGGGTAGAATCCTGAGACATGGCACACCAGCAGCAATCGACCAGGACCAAGGGCGGGGCCACGAGATAGCCAAGCCACAGGTTTCACTGCATCCAACAAGGCAATGGGGGTAATGTTAGAGTGAGGAGCCTGCATTCCAGGCTCCCAGCCTCATAGTAGGCTCGTGTATGTCACCTTTAAACCTCTCACATACTCCATTTATTTGTGTCAGCTTCATTAAAATGCTTTCCCCAAAATCCATCCCCCATACTGATCCAGATTTCTCCAGACCCCCACTCTGTCTTCCAGGCCTCCCATGTCAGCTGTACAACACCAAGCATACATCAAATCTAATCTGTCTTCCCGTCTTTTCACTCAAACAGGAATCCAATCAGACACTCAATGTTTGTTGAATTTGATTACTGAAACCCAAAGGGAATTCAGTGTGTGAATCAGCACCTCTGCAGTGTGGGTGAATGAATGCTGAGACCGAGGCTTCAGGAAGTGGGGGGGGGGGGGGTGTCAGAGTCATTCCTCCATGTGTGGGTCTGTACCTTGCTTCCTCCTGAACCCCCTCTTCCTCTGATGTGCCATGAAGTGCAAACCCTGGCAGGAGCCAAATGCACACTGACCTTGCTTCTCCAACTCTGATTTTCCCATCTCTACGATGCCTCTGACAAACTCCGGACAGGTGTCATTGAGGAGCCACTGCACTGTCTCCCTGGTCCCCCGGTCTTGGTTCATCACTTCACAGACCTTGTCCACCCATTGTGGGGCATCTGGGGCTGGCACCCAACAGGTTCCTTGGAAACTCAGGATCTCTGTTCCTTGAAATGCTACATGGAGGAAGACTTCTGGAGAACTTTTGGGCTTCACATCACATCCAACATACATCTGGATATCAAAGGGATCTGAGGAGAGGAATGAACAGAGACTGAGACATGTTTAAAGGATTGAAAGAAATTAAGGAGAAACTCGTCAGTCTGGGGACTCAAAGCAAGGAGAGAAGGGGAACTGGAGAATGAGAAATCAGAGTCTAGAAACTCTGAGGTGGAAGTGGGATTAGTGGGATTAGAGGGTAGAGGGAAAGAGTATCTCACCGGGAGGGCCAATCTCTAGGTATGGCTTCTGCTCCACTCTGCCCTTGGGCAAGTTACCTAGCTAGGCTGGGGACTCAGAAGGTCTCAGGGGAAGATCTGGAGGAGGGGGGAGGGGGGTGCAGGACAGGGTGAGCAGCAACCCATCCCTCAGCTCACAGTTTACTTGCAGCATTTTGGCGAATTCTTGCACGTCCCTGGTGAAGCTGCTCCGATAAACTTGAAATAGATGTTGTAATTTCTGCCACTGCTTGTGTGTGAATGTGCCCTGAGACCAAGGCTTCAGGAAGCGGAAAGAGTTGGAGTCATTCTTCCAAGTGTGGGTCAACAGCTCTCCCAGCCACAAGGATATATCTGTGCGCCACCCGCTGCTGTTGGCGAAGGACGAGATCTGGAGACAGCGGAAGGGCACAGTCCCTTGAGAGGTTGGGAGACAGGGAAGATCTGCAGAGCATGGGGAACGGCGGGAAGGGGTGGGGGGTGGATGAGGGATAAATGTAAAGGGAAGCAAGAGAAGGAAGGGGGGAGGAAAAGAGAAAACAAACAAACAAACAAACAAAAAAAAAACCAGATTGGGCAAAGGCATGGGGAGCGTGTCTAACTAACTAAGAGCAGCTCTCCCCATCCCTGCACCTGGAGCCCAAGCCTAAACCGGAGTCAAAGGCAGGAAGAGTTCCAGCAGGATCCTGCAGGTGGGTTCATGGTTTCCGCGAAGAATCCCTCTCCATCAGGAGTCTCTCTCCTTGTTCCCCTCTGCGGGATGTGGAAGCTCACCCTCAGAACTCGCCCAGATCTGGTGAAGCTCACAGAGCAGAAGGAAGAGCAGCCACCTCATGTCTCTGAGCGTGGGTTTCTGCACCCGGCTCCCGCTGTGCAACCAGCTGCCAGAGCCTGAAGTCCGCCAGGGTTTAACCCCGCCCCGAGACCCTGCCGAGAGGCCCCGCCCCAGCCTAGCGCAGGGCGGAGCTTTTGATCCTTGGCTGCCCGGTTCCAAGCCCTGATAAGCTTAGGCAGGTCTTGCAGTCTTGTCTCCTGCTCCCTTTATCAGAGAAAGGAAGGTCGCCCGTGCAGTTAGCTCTTTTGAGGTGCCAAGAACCCTAGCTGGGTCCTTGAAGTTCATACATGAACAAACCCGTGTTTGCCAAAACTGGCACGAAAACTTCCTGTTTCGTTGCGGAATTGAAACAGTACGTGGGAACCCTATAGCTGCAATTTAATTAATTGTTTAATTTAAAATATCTAGGCACCACGATTTACAATCGTTTCATGTTAGATTTTCAAGCAATGTTTCAACATCTATGCCATCAGTATCAACCAATGCCCCCAGGTGCCCTTCCCCCACCCAGCCTGCCTCCTTAACAGGCATAATTTAAAAATGAATCACTGTAGTTGAGATTTCATGCTTCAGTATTCATGGCTCTGTAGTTTAGATATATGCATATATTACAAGCAGGGTAGAATATGTTGTTCTTATAACTCTGACCATTTAAAATGCCAAATGAGAGAAAGCCCTGTGTTTGATCCCTGGTACCTCAAACCTCCCACTCCCCATCTTGGCGGTGTAACCTCCTGTGACCCTCCAACTTGACCACCATCACCAGGGCTCTGCCAAGTGTGATCCTGATACTAGATACGAAGAGAAAAGATGGAAGGTACCTCATCTTCTGCCTCAGTAGCAACTGTCTCTAGGCGAAAAGATGATTGGTGGTTTCATTTGCTTTATAAACTTTGGTGCTTTTCAATATTTCTGCAGGTCCAAGTACTTCACTTACTATATCTACTACATCATGAAGAATGAAAATTAATGTTCTCAGTTGTATGTTGATAAGATTGGAGTGACTGCATTTGTGGAGTATAAACTCCAGTATAAACACTGGAGTTTGAGGTACCAGAATGGGCGACTAACACCCAAGAATAGTCGAGATAAGTACCAGCAGGTTTGCTCCATGGCTTGGAAGCTGGCCTCACATGCTGGGGGAAAAGGCAGATCAGATAGAGAAGGGACCACCAAGTAAAGGGTGTTTGGAGGGCCTGCTGGGGATGGGAGATGCATGCCAAAGTAGTCTAAAGACTGACCATGATAGTCATTCAATACTTGCACTGCAGACCACAATACCCTAAAGGAGAGAGAGAGAGAGTAAAAGGGAATGTCTGCCATGGGGGGGGAGGTTTGGAGGGATACAAGGAACATTGGTGGTAGAGAATGGGCACTGGTGGAGGAATGGGTACTCGATCATGTATGACTGAAACGTAAGCACAAAAGTTTGTAAGTCTATAACTGTACCTCACAGTGATTCATTAAAAAATAAAAAAATTTTAAAAAAAGATTGGAGTGATTAGCTAATATTCTTTGTGATTAGCACATCTCAATATTTTATGCCAGTGTTCTCAGCCTCTCCCATTGTCTTTCTCTCCTCCTCACCTTCCTGGCCTTTCCAGTGGGGTCTCTGTTTCCACATTCACCCAATCTCTAAATAAACCCTCCTTTTATTTATTATTTTTTTTATATTTATTTATTTATTTATTGAATCACCGTGGGAAAGGTTACAAATATCAAATCACCGTGGGAAAGGTTACAAATCTCAGTCATGCAAATATCAAACACATTTCCCTTTACCACAACTTATTTTTTACCATGAAGAACCCCAATAAAACCCCACCCCCACCCCTCCCAGTCCCTGTGGGGTAGATGAATTCTAGTTAACACTCTATCTGCTTTGATTAGATTCATTGTTTCAATAAAAGATTCACCACTATTATTTAGAGTTTACCCCCCCCCAAATCAGACATAATGAAAAAGCATTGTGAAGTGATTTGCTTTCTACAGCTGGGTTCAAGAATTAAATGTTGGTTTTGGATTTCTGCTATTTTACTTATTGACCCTGGAAGTATTTCTACTGAAAGTCAGATAGTTAAGAAATTGGTTTCTGTGCTCTGGAGTCGTGGCCGTGCTAGAGAGCCGCTAGTGGGGGGCAACTGGTGGCCTTGGTAGGGCATGAAGGGCGGACCGAAACGCCCCCCTTCCCATGAGGTTTTAGTCGCCCCCACACCCCCGGCTCATACCTGCTGTCCACAAGGCTCCCATGCGGCCGCCATCCTTCTTTCCAGAGAAGAGAGGGCGAATGGGGCAACACACTTTCCCCTCTGGCAGACTTGATGGCCTGGATTAATGCATAGTCCTTTCACTTTTCTGCTCCAAGCTGCTGGGTTCTGCATTAAGTCCTTGTGCTTCTGGGGCTGTGGCCGTGCTGGAGAGCTGCTCGTGGGGGGCAACTGGTGACCTCGGTAGGGTGTGAAGGACGGACCGGAACGCTCCCCTTCCCATGAGGTTTTAGTCGCCCCCACTCCCCCGGCTCATGCCTGCTGTCCACAAGGCTCCCATGTGGCCGCCATCTTTCTTTCCAGAGAGGAGAGGGCGAATGGGGCAACACCCTTTCCCCTCCAGGCAGTCATGATGGCCTGGATTAACGCATAGCCCGTTCACTTTTCTGCTCCAAGCTGCTGGGTTATGCATTAAGTCCTTGTGTTTCTGGGGCTGTGGCCGTGCTCCAAACTTAACTATGATTTTCAGAGAGAAACGTTGGGTGGTTTACTTCCCATGGATCACTTTGTATATAGAGAGATGTCGCGCGGCCGCATAAGCAGCCGTGCAGTTTTGAGGAAAAGTCCTAGTTCCCGCATACACGAGCTGTGGTTGTAGAGGCTTCTGGTCACCGGGGTTCCATCTGGGGGAGGTGGGATGTGGTACCTACGCCATCTGGGGCTTCCCGATGATCTCGGCTCTTTTTGGAACCTGTTTTTTTTTTTCCTTTGGGATCTGTGGATCCCGCCCTCCATGTTGTCCTTCTCTTCGGCTGAATGCTGTAAATATGGTGCTGGGGGGCGGGCTGTGGGCGTGACTTCCGGAATCTGAGGTTACCTGGGAGTTGTAGTCCCGGCAGATTTGAGAAAAAGTCCTAGTTCCCGCATACTCGAGCTGTGCTTGTAGAGGCTTCTGATCACCGGGGTTCCATCTGGGGGAGGCGGGATGCGGTACCTACCCCATCTGGGGCTTCCCGATGATCTTGGCTCTTTTTGGAACCTGTTTTTTTTTCCCTTAGGGATCTGTGGATCCCGCCCTCCATGTTGTCCTTCTCTTCGGCTGAATGCTGTAAATATATATCTAAACCCTCCTTTTAAATGGGCAGTGATGAGATAATGGCATCTATCTTGACGCATGTCTCCCCACTTCTCTCATCCTCACACAGAAAGAACAAGGCAACAGTGATCAGAGCATTAGAGCATTGGGGGAGGGCTGGGAAGAATCCTCGGGGGAGTCAGGAACCCTGGACAACTCTTCCACCATCAGTCCAGTATCAGCAATTCGATTCTTTTTCCTCTTTTGAAAATTTCTCTTGAATCCACATTCCTCCTGCACCTTCACCCACAGCCTCATCACCATCCTAACTCTTTGCCAGAATTCCTGAAATTGCTTTTCTAAAGCAGAGACCATAATCACTGACATGAGCTACAAGACCATAATCTGCAAGGTTCTTCTTCCTTTCACATCCTCTTTAATCCTAGTTTCACTATTTTGTGTCTTGACCTAGTTGTGTGATTTCTGTTCCTCTACTTTGCATAGCTCTTTCCTGTCACAGATCTTTGCACCAATCGTTTCCTTTGCCTTGAAGACTTGAGGTTTCACTTCTTTTCAGTAACTTAGTTATTTCCCACTCAGATGTCAGATCATGGTCACTTTCTCAGGGGAATCTTCCTAGGCCCTCAGACTCCACATGAACAAAGACAGAACTCTAGAACTCTCTCTGTTGCCACCTCCACACACTTTCTACTAGCTAGTGTTGTAAAACTCTCCTAGTACATATTGAAATGTTTAAGTTTACCTCTGTCATCTCCAAAATCCACTGGAGAACTGCCTGAATTAAAATCATTGTGTCCCCTTAAACTGGTTCCTCATATTCCACTAACATTTATTTTCCCATCTTCCTTTGGTTGTAGTAAAAGCCCTAGAGCAAAGATGTTTCTTACCCTCACTCTAGGATGGAACCTTGAACATAGTCCTAGGCTAAACTATGTTGTGGCCTAGCTTAATTAGCTTAATATCGTCCCCAAACAGAATGAGATAATAAAGAAATATTTACTCCCCTCCCTCACCCCCAAACCCCTTCCAGAGGCTGGAGGTGTGATTCAAGTAGTAGAGCACATGCAAAGCATGGGTGAGACCCTGAGTTAAATTCTCCCTCCACTCCCAGGTGTGGTTCTGGCAGTTCACAAGCACCTGTCAAGCCCCCTCTCCCACCTTACCCTCCCCCACGACTGAGCATCTCTGATAGTAGATCCAGGGCCTTCCTGCATTCCCCACACGATGCAAGGTCAAGGATCAAATGTAGGGTCTCAAATGTAGGGTCTTTTTGTTTTGCTTATATTGATAAGAGATTTATTTTTATTCTTATTTTCCCTCAGTATATTTAAAATATCTTCTTCCTTTAGTTGCTTAAAAGATGTTTTACCACTCTAGGCTTATGCTTTATCACCTGAGCTCTCTTCCTGGCCATGCAATATGTTTTTGATATATCACATGCTACCTTTAAATAACATCACATTATTTCACAATGTGAGAATCAAATACAATTTTTTTCCATTTTCTCTTCCTACTCTTTATGTCTTATTGTCATAATTTTTTCTTTATGTATAACTGCAAATGTGTGAAACATGGTCAGTGTTTTATTTAAATAATACAATTAAAAATAAAAAATGCTCTTGAATATTTACTGTTAATTTCTTTCTGTAGGACCAAAGTTTTATTTAATATCTTCTTTTTCTTCAACCCAAAGAGAT